GAGGAAATTGTTTGTTGAAGAGTTAATCCTGATTATACATGCTTGTTCCTGTTTCTATTGGAAACCTTTTTCTACTTCATTTTTGTCTGTGATTTTCCTAACGGTGTTAACTACCGAAAACCTCTACTTATTAAAAATGAATAAATGAATAAATAATTAAAGGAAATCAAATGAAAATAGTCCCGCGACATAAATCATTTCATATAATTTCCTATTAGCTTGTTGCGTGGAAGCCAAAAATTTTTAACTACAGATGAGTATTAGTGAAATATTACTTAATACACAATTGACGCATAAAGAAAATGTTCTGCTTTCTAAATTTTGACGTTTTCATTCAGGTGGGTTTTTCTTTACTAAAAGAAAAAGAGAAAGAGCCCAGCTGTTTTTACCTAAACGTTCCCTTAAAAAAGCTAAAAAAATCTAAGATATTCATCGCGATATAAAACAGCGAGCTTTAATTTCAAGAAGAATGGTTTGTGCTCTAAAAAGAGTCAAAATGAAATATACACAACGCACAATAGAAGCCATCTGAGTTTTAATGTTGTTTTCCCATGTTTTGAGATTTTTCCGACTTTTCCTTTTAAGTACGTTCTTATTCTTAAACTTAAGAAAAAAATGAAAAAAAGAGTGAGAAGAAGGTGACAAAGTCCAGCTGTGGACACTTGAAACTTTCTTCTCGTCATGCAACACTGACTTATAAAGAGGCTCGCACCCATTTTTTGAGGTCTCACCCCTTCATGTTTGATGCTTCATAACTTTGCCTGTAGTGCATGTAAGGAAAAGCCACAAACTGAAACAACATATATAACATTGAACTTAATTTTAGAGTATGTTTTGTTCACATCGCCGCTTCAATCCTCTACCGTGCTATTAGCTTAGACCGTTGTCATTACCTTGGCAAAATTTGAAAAAATCTTTGGTAGCGTTTTTGAAATATGATGTTCCAAAGCTTTTGCATCCCCAGACATGTCTTTTTCAATTTTTGTTCAGTTTTAGTCATCAAAAATGATGTTTTACAGTGCCGGCCCATTATAACAATCCAAATTTAAATAACGAGCTCAAGGTGTGGTTCAATTGTTTCAACGATAAAAATTGGCAAGCAATCGCTCTTTGCGATCGCACGTTTTGCTATTCTTACTCATAAGAAATATTTGCTCATGTAGTCGCAAAAAGGTGTCATCGTTGGTCTTAAAGCTGCATTTTAAAATTACTCGATAAGTTTTTTTAATCAGTTCTTTCACAGTTTAATCATTGCTAGGCACTTGAGTGAAATTTCAAAGCCATTGAAATTTCTAAGTTACTGAAAAACCATCGAATTGCCCCTGACTTAGTAAAGGCGATTGTTTACTATTTTAATCGCTTAGGGTTATGTCTCCCGCTTGCTAGTTTCCGCTTATTTACATGCAGCGCTCACTGCTTCTTTAATACACGAGTGAGTCTTGTTTCAACACTTCTTTTGATTCAGTTATTGAAATAACACAGTCTTGTTATCGGAGTGGAACATGGCTAACCAAAAATTGTCGAAAAAGAAAAACGCTTCGCGAAATTGATTCCGCAGCAGCAGGTTCATTACGGAGGTTTAATAGTTGTTTACAGGTGTCAAAAAAAAAATCTGAAGTTCGTTGAGCAGGCCTGAGCCTGGTTTAGTAGCCTTTGACTTAAAAAGAAAACATGATAAAATCTACTCGTATCCGTTTTCTGTTATAGCAATCCCATAGAGGCATTTTGGATACGTCGTAATATTGCATACCTGTGTCTTGTTTAAAATAAACACTGGAGCGCTAAGGAACTAGGAACGTGCCTGTCTTTTACTTCCTTTTTTTCTTTTCAGTGGTTCGGAGAGTTTGACTGATTGGCCGACTGATGCACAAATTTGCTTTTTTAACTGAATTTATGAGAAAAATTGGCCATCATAGGGGCTAAACTGAGAAACCGTATACTTAGACAATGCTAACCCTTGGAGCCGGTAAATCGAGAAAGGGATTCTCTCTTACTGTGCTAGCGCTCGAAATGTCAGCTTCCCAGTACTGAGAGGGTCTCACGGGGTCGTAGGTTTGACCGTTGACGGTTATTATTTTCCAATTTTGACGATTGACGGTTAAATTTTAGAGCTTTTGACTGTTGACGGTTATTTAGAAGAAAATTAGTCCAAGATCGGGAGTTGAAGAAAATATAAATTTCGGTTCTCTTAATTAACATTGACTGTTGTGTTTTTGTGGTTGTCTGGCCTTTCCCTTATGAAATTTTGAAATATTTTCAGATATAAGAAAGTTGTAAGGACTTGTAATGTCCAGAGAGAGTGTTTTTGAGAACAAGAGAACTGGTTTTTCTGCTAGCCCGATTATGGCTCCTTTTTGTGGCCATTTTGCTGCGTCGTTTTTGTCAAGGGTTGATTAAAGCGTCTCAAAAAATTCAAAAACAGAATCTTTTAAAAGCAGACGCGGTAGATTCGAAAATTCTCGCATAGAAATCAACCAAACTTGGCCAAGTGCTACTCGGCATAATGTACAGTATTCATACTTTTAAGCGATTTTTTCTAAAGAGTTCGTGTCTTCGATCTCGGCATTTAACAAATGGCAAAAATTTCCCATGGCAACGTAATGTTGCTAGGAAAGCTCCGATATTCAAAAACCTAACTGCATTTCAAACGACAATCTATTGCTAGGTTGCTGGTAACATTGATATTTCGAGAAAATCATGTCTAGGTGTATTTCTTCAAGGTTAAAATTCGGTAGTGAGACAGTCGAAAAACCCCATCGAGCCACCTTAAAACAATCTAGTAATCCTAAAATAGGTGAATGTATTTTTTTGAAAAATTTCTTTTCTCTCTCAAAATATTAAAATATACACATCTTAATGTAAAATGTGTTTAGGTTTCTCGTCTGAGTTATCATATTTTATGCCGTTTGGAGCTACATCTTCGCCAGTTTGCAACACGGCAACTTGTTAACTGATTTTAAGACATTTTTTCTTTCGCGCGGCGTTGACTGGTTAATTTCCGCAAACTGGTCACAGTCTTAAAATGAGAAGAAAAAAAAACCCTTGGAGGAATCAATTATTCACTTACTTGTTATTGAGTAGCATTTTAGAGGATCTGATAACCTGGTGAAATGAGGATTTTGTCTTAAAATATCGAAAGATGCAACTTGCAGAAGGAAACATACAAAAGTGACAGCAAACGTGCAAGCGCATTAGATGATGTTTTCAGAGTGAAAAACAAAAAATCGAGAAATTTTTTAGTTGAAGAGTTAATCCTATGGAGTACTGTTTTAAACATGTTTGTTTGTGTATCTCTAGGAAACCTTTTTCTAATTTGTTTTTGTCTGTGATTTTTCTGACGGTACTAATTACCGAAAAGACTAAATAACTATTTAAAGATGATGATGATGATGATAATAATAATAATAATAATAATAATAATAATAATAATAATAATAATAATGATAATAAAGAAAAGAAAAAAATAAGGACTGAAAAATGTCGCGACTTAACTTCAGTTTTCCAGTTGCAAATTTCTAAAATTAAACTAATGATAAATGTTGGAAAAATATTATACAGCATTGACAATCAAAGAAAATGTTCTGCTTTCTATAGTTTACGTATTCATTTTTGTGTTTCCTTTCTAAAGTAAAATAATTATAACTACGGAAGCCGGGAAAGTCAGCCCAGCTGCTTTCACTTTAAAAGTTCTCTTCCATTGTCGGTAGTCACAAAACTTACATAATCTTAGATTTTCATTGCATAAAGAAAATGTCTTGCTTTCCAAAGCGTAAGGCAGGGAGCCCCTTAGCTATGAATAAATTCATAAGGAAAAGTTTTACTTCTGCTACATCTTTTAAAACGCTTATATCTCGGCTGTTTTAGAGGCGATTTAAAGATAAAACTTTTCAGAGACATTATGGAATTAATGGAAGTTTTGGAGGGTTGTTTTTTATTCGGTAGGTCGCGTTTTACCAGTGTGTTTTACGGCAAAGCTTTAAGCCACAGTCAGTGCAACCAAGTTGGGAAATCGTGATTTTGTGTTCAATATTGAGAGTTTGAGGAAAGAATGAACAGGGGCACCCAACGATGGTTTCCTCTTAAAGTGCTTGAAAACACTTTTTAGGCTATCCAGAGTACTTTTAGACCTCTAGAAATGCATTCTAAGCGGTGCTATAAACTTTGTATCTGTTCGGTCATCCTAGCTAGGCGAACTTGAGTCTTTTCGGAAGTATTATTTACCCGAACATTTTAGATGCGATTTGACGTATTACGAAAGTGAGACATTTTCTGATTCCTCTCGCCATCACTTTTGTGAATCCGAAATTTTAGGTTCCCCTTTAATTTTCTACGAAAAACAGCCTAACTTGGGGAGTAAAACGTGAAAATTAAACTTCAGAAAATCGTAAGGAATTTATAAGATAAGCCTCGAAAATTGTACATGAACGGAACGGTCAATATTAGGAAAACCAACTGCGTTATCCAGTGGATAGAGATTTATCCGATGAATAGTATTATCCACAGCTACAATCAGGGACAACACATTGTAGTTTTGAACAATATGGGCCTGGACTCGATGTTGTTACGTCACTGGATAAAAATATTCCCGGATTTAGCGTCCACACGATTTCGGATTCATAGCGTACTGAAAAGTTTCCACTCTGGAGAGCGGATTAAAAAAAATGTGGATTCGTCTGCCGGATTCACCGGATACGTGTGGACAGAGGCCGAATCCGCAAAGAAAAGGTGGTGGGATTTAATAATATCCGGATACGTGTGGACGAGGCCTGAAACAAGGTTTACTACCATTGATTCAATTCTGAATAAACATTCCGCTCGCAGACTTCGTGCGCGTGAACACTTAGGGCCTGTTTACATGGAGGTGTGGACTCCAGGTAGGGGAGGTAACCCGCAGGTGGAGTAACCTTCCCGGCTGTCCATATAATCCCTCGTTTTAATTTGATCACGTTTACGGGTGGGTGACCCGTCAAATGTTACCTCACCTACCTGGGGATCCCTGACCTCCATGTAAACAGGCCCTAACTTGTGCGCATACATATCGTCCTCGTTCGCGCTCATCTTTTATCTCGCGGCCCAACTTTCTTGTATGCCTGTTGTCATCTCTCGAATAAATCGTTGACCACGCGCCCCTTAATTCTGTGTGTGCGTGCGGTAGTTTTTCGTGCCATTAGGTTCCGTTAGAAAAGAAGATATTAAGCCCGAAATCAGTTCAACCAATTGATTACTGAAAATCACAATAATAAGAAACATTCTATTGTGTATTGCAACCCGTTGGAATGTATGATTTGTGCAGTCGCATTTTCTATAAATACGCAGGTTACCGTCTATTGCCCATTGTATTGCATTGTTGATGAGAGAGTTAATGAGATTGCTTTCTTATTCTTCCCTGAAGTCTTAGATTCCCTTCATGGAGCGCTATAACAAGATTAAATCTATAGGTTCAGGTACTTTTGGCCAAGCTTGGTTGGTAGAATCGGTCACTAGCCAGAGAAGGTATGCATTAAAGGAACTTGGTGTCACCGCTATGTCAGAACAAGACCGCCATCTTGCGTTGAACGAGGCCAAGATTTTATCGAAGCTAAAACACAAAAATATTGTGCGCTACAAAGAGGCGTTTGTAGACCAAGGAAAGCTATGTATTGCTATGGAATTTGCAGAAAATGGTAAGTGTAAGACAGGTTTTTGTTTGAATTCGGTAAAAAGAACATATTTATAGTAGAATACAATCAGTTGGGATGTAGACTTTTATACGAAATTAAGTAAATACCCGTTATCGTGGAAAGAGATCAAGTGATGAAGTATAAGAATGACTAAAAATATACTCAGCTAATGCGAACTACCGCTATTCTGATCCATAAAATTTCCTCATATCCAGCATAACAATGTATGCAGTTTTTGGTAGAATTCCTGAATGTGGTGTTAACCCGGAAAATGCATACATGATAAGTGGAAGTGTTGTGCTAAAATCTTGCCCTGGTTTTGTATATTTTAATTTCTCTACAACAGGAGATCTATACACAAGAATCAGGGAGAGAAATGGACTATACTTCTCAGAAATGGTGAGTTAGAGAATGTAGCAAGAAATTTTACCGACTTCGGAGCTTATACGAGAAAATTTCAATAGTCGCACCATTATGTGAATGAATAAATGAATATATGAATGTATTGTTCTTATTTGTCACTGTTTCTTTTTTTTTTTTTTGCTTTTAATGATTGTAGCAAATTTTAGGATGGTTTACACAACTTTGCCTTGCCCTGAAGTACCTTCATGGACAAAATATTCTTCACAGAGGTTAGTGCTAATTTCGTTAGTTAAAGTTTCGTTTTCATTATGTTTGCCATTTCAATCACTTTTAAGACCAACATTTTCTCAAATATTAAAACTTAAAAATAATGATTTCAATTTTAGACCTGAAAACTCAGAACATTTTTCTCGGTAAAGACGACATCATTAAGCTCGGAGATTTTGGCATTGCCCGGATGTTGAATAATACTTTAGATCATGCGCAGACGACTGTGGGAACGCCATATTACCTGTCACCAGAGATTTGTCAACGAAAGCCGTATCCTTCCGTGAAATAATTTAAACTACCATATTTCAACCATTCTTCGCGGGACTAGGCCGAGTTTATCATCACTGTACTTGTTACTCTCTAGTATTAGGACCATATACACAGTAATGAGTTGAGTACAAAGTCCGCCTAAAGCTTGGGTTCAGAGCAAACTGAAATCCCCTTTCGGCTTCGCGCTCGCGAAAATAGGGAGTTTAAGATCCATCGACGTGGGCATGTGATAAAATATGGACTGGACTGGATTAATAAAACATGGATTAATAAAACATAGAGTGATAAAACATGGATTAATAAAACGTGGAGAAAATTGTATTTATTACCTTTTTACATTTACAAAGGAGGTATTATTTCATGAGTCCTTAACAGCTTTGTCAGCTACAATCACAAGAGTGACATGTGGTCACTGGGATGCGTGTTGTATGAAATGGCTACACTAAAACACGCTTTTAATGCCAACAACTTCTCCGCCCTTGTTATAAAGATCTTACAAGAGCAGTACCCCCCAGTACCTAGGTAAGTTCAAGAAATATTATAGTGTGTATTTAATGTTCGATAGCCTGTAGAATCATGAAACTGCTGGATAAATATTCTCAAAGTACTATTTATTTTGAAATGGAGAATCTTGAGAAAGCGACTTTCAAGTGTCGATGTCAATAAACAGATTGAGGGAGCAAACGTAGCAGTACTGATTTACTGTTGACTCAAGCCAATGGCACTTTTCAGCGATCGATTTAACTTTTGGGATTTTATTTTCAGTTTTTATGGACCACTTGTGGAGGACTTAGTTTGGGTCCTACTGCAAAAGAACCCAGATGATAGGCCCTCAGCGAAGCAGCTCCTTTATGTACCTTCGATGCAACCTTATGTGAAGAGGTTCCTCATGAGTGAACGAGAGAGGACCGAAAGTCTCGCTTCGGACATAGCTGATGTCTCCTCTACATCATCAAGGCATGACTGCTCTCAAATGTCGGGTGCTGCAAAAGAAGAGAACATAAAGAACGCCAGTAGAATGGTCGTCCCTGTTGCTGACAAATCAAGCCCTTCAAAAGATGTTGGAGGAAGCGTTTCTAAACATGTAAATGCTCCGCAACGAAGAACGTTGCTTGACTATGCAACACGACCTCAGACCAACGTCACCGTAATGTACGAGAAAACAGCTGTGAAGGAAAATCCACGGGAAATCCAAGGAAATTTTCAGGCATATAACAGTACACCAAAAGAGCGGGAAAATTTAACCACTCCCAGGGATATTCCACAAAAGAGGGAGGCTAGCTGCTCGTCTCAGCATGATCACACATCAAAACCGCGGGAAAACTGTCCCCGTTCATCTGATAACATTGTTAAAGCAGGAGAGAATTTGCGCGCCAGAAGTTCTCAGGGCACAAGGAAGCAAAGCCTTATTGCACTGGCACACGCACAGAGACGCAGGTATTCAGAACAGACTTCGACTTGCTCAGAGCCTGGAGCCAGAGTTCAGAAATCCCGGATTCATTCTCAAGGTTGTCGTGAATTTGTAGATGCTGAGGATGAAGTTTTTACAAAGAATCAGGCAACAGTTATTCATGTTAGAACTGCAAGAAACAGAAATGTAGGGACAATACGGACACAAGCGATTGATAAACACCATTCTTCATCTTGTAAAAGTAATGTTACTACCAATCCCGAGCAAAAAAAGCGAAAGCCAGTGTTTTCAGTGAGTCAACCAAAACGCTCTGAGGATGTACACAAAAGTAAGCGTCATCATTCAGCTGTGAGTGACAGGAGCCTCCATCCAGTTGAACAGAAACATCAAGGGTATCAATATCGACTTGATCATAGTGTTCAAGATAAGGAGAACGTGAGTCAGGTTAGCTGGTTTCGACTAGTTAGCTGCAACAGGCCATTTGTATGGTTTGATAAGGTTATTTTACTACTACTCGGCTACTACTACTACTACTACTACTACTACTACTACTACTACTACTACTACTACTACTACTACTACTACTACTACTACTACTACTACTACTACTACTACTACTACTACTACTACTACTACTACTACTGCTGCTGCTGCTGCTACTACTACTACCTTTTAATATGCACCCAAAGCAGCCTCGTCTTTTTAAAAACACTTTTTTATGAAGAAATCTAAATGTAGAGTAACCTCCCATGCAGGCGTCTTTCGGCTGATTTCGTCCCTCCATGTAAACGGCGTTTGTGGGGAGAGACGAAATACGAGCTCCCCTAAAAACGCCTGCGTGGGAGGCTAAATGTAGTAAATAGAGTGCTTTCAAATATTTTATACCATAAGCCATGATGATGATGTTGTTGATGATGATGGTGATGATGATGATGATGATGATGTTTAGTGTAATTACTATTATAAACAAGACGTGCTTTGGGATGTGGCAGTGAATCTGGTTTTCAGTTAGTTCTTATTGAGGATCGTATTTTAGAGAATGAAGAGATAGTTACGATTAAAACGTGTAGAAACGTTTGGTTAGTTGAAAACATAAGAAAGGGAGGTTTGATTGTTACTACGATTAGGCCTTTATTTTCTTCAGGGATAGTAGAGGTAGCCGCAACTACGCCGGGGCCCGTGAAAATCACCTCCTTTCTCTCTTCTGGCTTCGTGTTCCTTTCCTCGCGTGCGCCGATCTATCATGCGCTCTCGCATTCTTCTCGGTTCACTCTCTCTCCGAGGAAATTATGGACTACCTGTCAAAAACTATCTCAAAATTTAGTTTATTTATCAGTATTCTTTTGTCTGTGTTCTTTTTATAATTCCAGGAAAACTCTTCGAGTTCGCATGTTCAAGAGAAACGCCCTATCTCTTCTAAGGTATTTAAAGAGATTCAAGCCTCTTATTTGAAACCGCAAATGGCGAAACCTTCCTCGGAAGAAATTGAAGACAAGGTCGAATATCGGAAAAGAACGTATACAATATCAAATTACCCGCGACCATCTGAATTCGAAATCCCGGAAGCAGTTGGAAAGGAGCACACTAGAAGTGACAAGAAAGAAAGTGAAATTTGTAAAGACGCAAATTTGAGCGTCGGTCAAAGCGCAAAAGGACGGAAGTATGAGATAATTGCCAAAGAGAACTTAAAAAAACAGACGCTGGGAGCAGCGAATCAAAGCAGGACCCATGGTCAAACACCATGTTGTAAATTCATCTTTTGTGGAAAGACTTTACACCTTGACAATGTTACCGACCATGATTCCGTCTACTCACACATGGAGGCACTGCGCATGCACTTGGAGGAAAAATTAGGCACCAGACTTCTGACCGCGGTTTATCGTTACGTCACAAATGTGCCGCTTGAGGAACATGAAAGGGTGAAGCAAACGGTTTTGTGTATGCTTGGGGAAGAATACATGACGTATTTCCCGGTTTTACTTCAGCTTGTGGCTTGCGAGGCATTATACTTCCATTGACTAGAATTATTATTAAATAGAGATAGCCCATTTAAGATAACTGCAAAGTGACTAGAAAGCAATTATTAAAGATAGAAATTTAGTCCATTCTTGTATATGAAATTACTATACGCATAACTTGATGGTATATACATTCTCTACCATAAATTTTGCATTTTTATCTTAAATTCAACGTTTATTAAACCTTAAATCTTGTAATTCATTTATCTTAGTTGTCTTTTGAGATCAATAAAGATATAAGTATTAAAATCAAACTTAAAACGGACTGATGGACGACGTTTGAACCAAATCGGAATCGTTCCTACCTAACCTGCGGGTTTTCCTCGATGGAAGAGTCTGTGATCTTATTCTTTGTTTATTGTTGTCATAGTGATATCGATTTTATTGAAAACTGCATTTTGGCAAACTTCAATTCATAGTCAATCACTGGCAAAAATATCGAAGCGATCGAACAAGGATAAAAAGATTTTTTAAGGGGATTGAAAAATCTTGGTGTGGTCTCCGGAAAACCGTATGGAAACATCTTTAATAGCCCATTTATTTTCGACTAGTACGTAACAATTATTCCTCGAGTCCGAATGGGCTCTGAGTCAATAGCTATTGACTCAGAGGCCATGAGGGTAAGGGGAATAATTGTTTTAGTAAAATCCAACTAGTTGGTAAAAAATATCGAGAATAAAAAAAAAATTTAGCTAGTGAAAGCTAGACTTTAATCCTTTTTGCAGCCAAAAAGCCCGCGCTAGTAGTAGCTCAACCAATCAGAACGCAGCATTGATAATAGACCACTAGTTGGATCACAGGTAGCCCAAGCCCAATAAAGGGTAAGCCTTTATATAGAGAGAAAACCGTTTACATAAAAACCCTTAAAACGGCCATAAATCGGCCCTTGGACCACACAGGAGAGACGTAACACACATTTTAAGTAAGGTAAGCTGTTTTTTATTGAAATTCTTTCATTTTCGTAGGTTACAGAAACGATAGGTTTTTTTCCCATACAAATCCTTTTGAATGTTACGCAACAATGCCGATGCTCGCCGATGCTCATATTTCGTGCTTGGGCTACCTGTGGTTGGATTTTACTAATAATGTATACTTAGTACAAGCTAAAACGTATTCTGTTTTATTAGTTAAGAACAAATTGAAATAGTTACTTTTTGACCTATTGATTTTCAAGTGTTCTTCAATATTGAGAACCCCCAGCAGAGTTTTAGGACATCACGCGCGTGTTATCTATGTCACGTGTCCCTGCGTGACATTCAAGATGGCGGCGTTGTCGTGTGATATTTCAGTTGTGAAAGAAGGTTGTTCAGAGCTTGGAGAGGGGCCGCATTGGGACGAAAAGACTCAAAGAATTATATGGGTGGATATCTTAGGACACAGTGTTCATTTGCTTGATCCAGTGACAGGAAAGGTGCGGTTTAATTTACTTGTCCGTCATGGCAGCTGGAGTAACCATATTTTTAAACCTACTGGATATTTTGAAGTCCCTTAGGCCTTTAATTATTTGTTTCTATTGAAATCGAAAAGTTTTTTTTTTCACATGGTGGATTTAGTTCTTGACTCGATTATCGAGGTTAGATCCTTTTTTTTTCAGGTAAAATTTTGTCAATTATAAAATAAATATATAATTATGGCTCATCAGTCAATTCCAAGCTTTCCCATTTCCCCCCCCCCCCCCTAAGGAATTTGTCGAACCTTTTCATTTTGTTTTGGAAAAGCTGCAAATGTCTCACAGTGGAGCTGGGTGTTCATACAAAAACCCCACGGTGGGGCTTAAAAATAAGGTCCAAATGCCCTACCCAGGGTCAACACCAAAATTGCGTTTCCAGTAGATATAAGCTGCAAATACCATATATATGGGAAATCTGTAATAATCCTATCAAACTCGCACAAGAAGCACTTTACACAAATCACTCTCAGCTGCTAGTTAAAATGACTGCAAAAAAGATCATTGATCTGATTAATCTTAATAACAGAAGCATAAATTAGAATTTTGATAATTCATGTACCTTTCTTAATTTGGAAGATGGTTAATATAGTGAATGATTAAAAAACAACCGATGGGCTTTACATGAGTATTTTCTCATTATAATGAAACTGTTGAATTGTTGCATTGATGGTACAATACACAAAGTTTATATTACCTCTCCAATATCTTGCAAAGTTTTCCTAGGGCCACACCGGAGACATGGGTTATGGGAACTTTTGGAATTTACTGATACATAATTCTATACGAAACCCCTCCCCATTACCGCTATGAAACAAATGTTAAAAATTAGTTTTATTTTTTTTCTAGGATGATCAATATAAGTTTGATGGACCAGTTGGAGCAGGTGGGTTGTTATGATTGAGGCAAAACAAAATGATTTATTATGCTTAGCCTGGCAGGCATTTGAAGGAGAAAGAAAGGAGGGTATGACACATGTGAACATGAAAGATAGGGAAATAAAAAGGAACACCAGCAAGAATGCCATTATATTTGTCATTCCACACCTCATTAATCCACAAAAATCAAATAAAAACATTCAGGTGTTTTGTTGTAAAATCATAGCCCATAGACTGCCTCTCATTTTTTCTTGTGCCTTAAAATAAAGCTGCAATGAAATAAGCAATAAAAACATGAATTGGGACAGCCTTGCTACTAGTCTTGCTAACTTGGTCAAAAAGCTTTTTGTTTATGTAAACTGACTAAATCCTCTGTTTGAAACCACCTTACATTATCTTCTGGTGTGGAGTACCCTGTAAGTCCCAAGCTATTAACAGTGATTAACATCAATATTCTGAGAATTATGAGAATTACTAAAATGATCACTGAGAGGGAAATGTTGTGATTTGTGTGTTTTTCTACAGTGAAACCCCGCCTTACGGTCACCTCGGTAATACGTCACCTTCCTGTTATTATGGCCGCTTTTTTTTGGCTGCCCAGCAAAAAAGCCATCCATTTTCATGTAAAAAGCCTTGGTTAATACGGCCACCTGTTAATACGGCCAAATGTGTTTGTCCCATTGCCTTGGTGACCGTATTAATTGGGTTTCACTGTAGTGTTTTCCCTCAACTTTTTCTTTACAGAACTGTATGGAGATCAGTGTGGACAATTTTGTAAAGGATATTGGGGCTTTAAGGGTTAACTTTGTATCTTTCTTCCTCACACATAAATTAATTTTATATTGTCAATGAATCTGTAATGTCTAGAAGGTCCAGAAGCATGTCAAATCATTTTCAGAAGTTCCCAGCAAAGGTAGAAAATTATGGTAGTGAAATGCTGGTTAATGGTTTATCTAATTAATGTATGTACATGTATTTTCTAAACTCTATTTTTCATAGCTGTACCAAGGCAAAAAGGTGGTTCTCTCGTTGTGGCAGCTAAGAGAGACTTTCTGTTCCTAGATCTTGAGGTACATGTAGTACTGTTGACCAGTAATTAACCTTTCCTGTCAT